GCGCTGCATATTCTCTGGGGTACTGTTCTAAAACTTTTTCTCTATTCATGTATGAATATAGCACGGTTTCATCGTGCATATTCGACATTCAGCTGATGCTAAAAGAGAAGGAAGCAAAGAGCATCAGTAGGGAGAAGAGTATGGAATATTTTTTCGTTGACACAACTCCTGGTTTGAAATTAGTCACATCCGATGAATTGATACACTATCCCTTTAAGGTCGTTTATTGTAAAACTCACCCTTAACACGGCCGCGCCATAGCTCAAGCGGTTAGTCGCTGCCTTCCCGATCCAGGGTCTGGTCAAGTGGGATTTGTGGTGAACAAAGTGGCGCTGGAGCAGGTTTTCTCCGAGTACTTCGGTTTCACCTGCCAATCTTCATTCCACCAATTGCTCCACAATCACCCTCACCTATCATCTGGGGCTGGTACAGTAGGTCAGAGGTGGCCGCAGTACAAGGGACTTAGTCCCACCCCACTAGCAATAATAAAAACAACAAAACAGCGTTGATTTAAGATCTGGAGAGTGTCCGAAGAAGAAAATGATTTTTATAAGCCAGTAAAACTTTCCGCGTCCATCCGTAGTTTTGTGTTCCGTGTTTTATTGCAAGGATACTATTTTGAACTTCAGTTTGTCTTATATGTGTGTTCCTATGTTTTATTTACGTTAACAATAGAGCATGCATATTTGTCATTTTGTCGTTTGTCCGCTTTAGTCCACTTCTTTGTAAACAAAAAAGGGGACGTTATTTAGAATATTTGTCTTTGGGTCCTAAAGTTACGCTTAAACAATTCATTTTACAGGTATAAGTTTTAAATTTTAGGGAGTTTGAACTTTGTAACTAATAAGCCTATAGATGCACTATTAGTAACATCAAACATTTTGCATTCAACTGCCCTTTATATTGTATACGAGAGATAAATAAATGTTATTTATATTTACAACATTTTCTATCCATTTCAATCCAGGGTCATCTTTTTTTTTTTGGAAATAGCAATTGTTCATATTGTTTAAACCTGTTTGAAACTGAAATTTTGAGTGCAGTTAATAAATACGAATTCGGGTAGTGTAAAAGTTCCAAAGGACGCCTTCGTAAAATATGTGGCTCTTAAACTCTTTTTTTCTCATACAGTCATGAAAGTACGATAAATAAAAGGCTGAAGCGAACTGCAGTGAATTACTGGGGAATTGAATTTATAAAAATATTTCGTTCATAGGAGTAAGTATTGTTCAATCACGTCTTTCCCATAGAACCACTCAATTTTATTAATAATTTTATAATTTCTGAACGTATCACAGAACGTGTGAAATACTCCGCATATTTTAGCATTTCACGGATTCAGAAACTGACATTTTCAGTATCGATTAGCAGATATCTCTTCTAAAGGCTGCCACACATTCCAGTCGTGCACGCAGCAGCAACATTTCTCCCGTTACGCTGTTTGATATTGTGAAGTTCTTTTGCAGTACAGGGCACAAAGGAATCGAATTTATTTTTCGGAATCCTAAAGCGAAATCTGTGTATCTGTCCGCCCCTGACACGACAATGACATCAATATTATAAACATAATTGTAAGGTAAAATTGTCCCTGTGCTTAACTAATTAAGCACTACACCATGAAGGTTTATGGGGGAGTGCATGTTTAGGTAAGAAAGCTGACTTTTTTTGCTGATGTCTCTGACATGTGCAGGTTATATGTTGACAGTACTTGTATTAATCTAGCTGACACCTTACCCTTCCGCAAAGCTTTAATGCCGATTACTTTTGAGACTTATTTACTTTCCACGGAACTCATTGTCATGTTAATCATGATAACAGTATAAGCGATTATTTATGTACAGTTGTAAATACTGGAAATTATAAATGCAATTTTATCCCACATTTGATAACCTTTAGTATGTTTCGTATTTTAATAATTAGAAGGCATATAATAATTTTAATTTTGCAGGCAATTAAGATAGAATTAATCGAGTTTATTTTTGATGTTTAATGTTATCTTCCAAGCTCATGCTTGTAATTTTTATGAATTACAGTGACACTATCATGGACTATGTTAAGTTAATTACATTGTTGTTTAACAATGTTGAAACCATCAATAGCTTAGTTTAATGATGACGTAGTTCCGGTTCTAACATATATTTCTAAAATTATTAATATTTTAAAGATTTTTTATTTAAGGTATTTGCATATGCAACCAAAGTTTTAAGATATATTCGGATGTTTTAGAAAGACACATAGTATAGAGTACGTGTTTGTATCAGTGAAGGTAACGATTAGGTACAGGTAAAACATATAATCTGAACTAAATAAACCAAATATATGTGATATTAAATAAATAAGTTTTATAATTAGGCTGTGTACAACACTATGCTGTAGACAGCGAAAGATTGGAAGGGTGTATTCTGTAATAGATATACAACAAACAAAATTATTAACGATGTTCTTTGAGCTTTATTAAGCTTACGTACAATATAAATAATTAAAGGCAATTAAGTGAAACTCCCCCATATCTAATTACAACAAAATACCTTGAAGAGTTTATGGGATATACAGAAAATTTCTTTTATAGCTTTAGGTAAACTAGGCTTCGTTATTAACCAATATGGCTAAAAAATTCCTGACAATTTTTGGCGGAAATCTTCTTTGTCGAATTTAAACAAGATCAATGAAACTGTTTATTGAATACACAGAAACGTCTATTTATGGCCCTGTGTAAAGTAGGCTTCATTGTTGACTAATATAGAGCAGAATATCGGAATTGACAAATAATGTTTGGTAAAAGATTCCCATGGCCGGTCACGGTAGCCGAGCGGTCTAAGGCATGCACTGTCTTCGCTCGCTCGGAAGCCGGGACCGTGGGTTCGGATCTGTTTCCTGTGAGGTACGGACTGAATTCTTATATATTATTCTTATACACTGCCGGTCACGGTTTAGAGCAAATGCTGAGTTGGTACCCAACTCCACGTTGCACTGCATGCCTCACATGCAGCCCTCCCATTCTTAACATCAAAATTTCGCCTTAATATAGCCCTCCCAACGTTAGCAAAAACAAACAAACAAAAATCAGATTATATGCTCTATCTTTACCAGAAGGACAAGCGGGCACTGCCTGGGAACCTTCAAAATCTGAAATATAGTTTCTTCCCCCCCCC